GGGGAGAGAGCAGAGTGGGGGAGGGTAGAGGGGAGAGAGCAGAGTGGGGGAGGGCAGAGGGGAGAGAGCAGAGGGGGGAGGGCAGAGGGGAGAGAGCAGAGGGGAGAGAGCAGAGGGGGGAGGGCAGAGGGGAGAGAGCAGAGTGGGGGAGAGCAGAGGGGAGAGGACACAGATAAAAGCCTTCAGGGCCAGGTGGGGATTTTATTGCCCACCTGGAAACAGGAAATGAGTCCTCAGGCTTGTGCAAGGTGAGGAGTTGAAAGGGAACCCCCTGCATCTAACTGGGAACCTCAAAGGCTGTCCCTTCCTTGAAGGGGACACCAGAAAAACTCTGATGGTCTGGCGAGCTTGCCATCTGTTTGAGACCCTCTGCAGAAATAGTGTCACCTTAGAGAAATCACAATTCTAAGTAAGGATCATGCTTGAATATTCAGTCAAAATTACCTGGATAGTGCAGTATGCCAGTTTGCCAATTTGGGAAATGGAAATGATAACTGATCCGGCCAATATATACCTCTCTAAGGATGAATCCACAATCCTGGGCATATGAAGTTTCAAAAGAATGATCTCTGCTGCTGGTAAGCTTAAAAAAAAAAAAAAAATCACAGGTCCACACCAGGAAACAAGTTTCATGAAGAAGAAGTGCTCAAGGCAGGAAATAATAAAATTAATACCCTAAAAAGTAGAGAAAATCAAATAATGTTGAAAAGACTATGAAATATGAATCTTTCAGATTACGACAATTCTGAGTATTTCCTCTATGCCAAGCACTGTTGTAAGCACTTTCCATGTGGTACCTTTCACCCCTTCCACTGAATCGGAGACTAACACTGTGCACATGGTAGAGAAGAGGAAACTGAGGCACGTATTGGTTAGCTAAGGCCATGCAGTTAGGAAATGGTGGAGCCAGATTTGAAACAGCAGACCCACTACGGTACTTAGCTCTGACCCACTACAACGGAGACTGAAGCTATTTGACCAAATCCATGGCCACCTTCCTCCAGAGTGATGGACTTAGAGCCCAGCATATGGCGGCCCCGATACCCTACGTTTCCCAGCCTCTCAAGTAGTTAGGTGTGGCCATGTGGCTTGCTCAGTTCCCTCCAGTGGAATGTGAGCAGAAGTGGGTGCCACATCCTGGCTGGCACCTGACGACAGTAAGGATTTCTCCTCTATTCCTCCTTCCCTTTCACGTGGCTGCAACTGAGATGTGCCACAGCTTCAACCATGCCCAAGAGGACAACGCCTTAGGAATGACTTAAAGTAGGATAGAAGGAATCTTGGTTCTTCGATGACTGCTGGCTGGATGGATGGATCCGAACCACCCACTAACCTGGATGACTACAGGAAAGAGAAATATCTTTCTATTTCCCTTCACCTTCATAATTAATGTTTTGTCTGTATTTCTGCTTTTGTCCTTTCCGAAAACCAGTTGTGTCGGTTGATGATCAATTCCAGATCAATGACTTGGCAAGGGCCCGTCCCCTCCACCACACCTTGATTACATACCATACTTGGCTGGCAGGAGAAATAGGAACCATAAGACAAGTGGTCAGAATGAAAAAGAATAGATGGCTTTAAAAAGGAGCCAAACAGGATTTTTAGAAATGAAAACCATAGTGATAAAATCTTACACCAAAAGTTTTTTGGAGGACTTTGCCTCTGAGGCACTGGTTGAGTAAGTAGCTCATGATGAGCCAGGAGCAAAGGGAGGGAGTTTCTGTGGCTTTTGGGCTCTTGAGGGGAGCCTAAGGAAGAGAAGTGAGGGAGACTTATGGGGGCCTGTGGGCTGTAGAGAATGAAGACAAGGCCTGCAGTGATGGAGGAGTTGTTTCAGAAAACAGTTGCTCTGGAGGCCAGTGCTTGGGGTTTGCCTCTGTTCCTTTGGAAGACCACTTGTTTTGTCTGCTCTCTAGTGGGGGGTAGAAAATCACCTCAAACTCTACTGGCTCCTCTTCCTGATTCAGGTGAGTGTTTGTCTTCAATCTCTTTCAGTCTCTACGTGGTCCGGGTGGGAGAGTCCCTGGAGGCATCCTGAGTGCCATGGCTCCAAACAAAGGCATTTCTTCTCTGCTCCGAATATGCCAGATTGCCTCTTTCATGGGCAGGACTGAGCCAAATGGGAAGAGAGGCAGCAAGGGCACAGCGAGGCTGTGCTTCTGTCCAGTTGGAAATGCCCTTTTCTATTCCACGGTCCCACTGTCAACTTTTGTGGGCCACTTCAGGGCATCCACTGGTCGTGATGAGGATTTGCAGCAATGTCTCTGTCATGAACTAAATGTGTATGTGCCCCTCAAATTCGTATGTTTAGATCCTAAGCCCACAAGGTGATGGAAGTAGGAGGCAGTGCCTTTGGAAGGTAATAAGGCCATGAAGGTAGAGCCCTCATGAATGAGATTAGTGCCCCTATAAGGAGAAACAGGAGAGAACTTGCTTTGTCTCTCTCTGTTCTCTTCCATGTGAGGATACCACAAGAAGAGGGCCATCTGCAAATCAGGAAGCAGGTTCTCAACTAGACACCAGACCTGTTGGTGCCTTGTTCTTGGACTTTCAGCTTCCAGAATTATGAGAAATAAACGTTTATTGTTTAAGCCACCCAGTCTGTGATAGGCTGTTACAGCAGCCCAAACTGAGATGCTCTCACTTTTAATTCCTGGCCTCTTGGGTCTTTGCATGCTTCTGTTCCACAGCCTTTATCTGAAGGACCCTCTGGAATCATTGTCTGAGACCCTCCTGGAAGACTGAAAGCTACAGGAATCTGGGCCTAAGGGGCCAAGAGCTAGGGTGAGAAACTGGCCTGGTTTGCTCAGGACTAGGGGGTTTCCTGAGGCTCTGGATTTGCAATGCTGAAACTGGGAAAGTCCCAGAGAATCAAGATTATGGGTCCCCCGAATAACAGGACATGTGCAAGACCTCAATGCGCCCGCTCCAAGAAATGGCCCAGGGGAACTGAGGAACTTATTTGGGGATTGTCATCTGTGGAGCAAAAAAAGATTACCAGGCTAGACTGAGTTTTCTCTGGATCTCATACCTTTCTTTTCCTGAACATAGAGAAGAGGGGGGAGAGGAAGCTGACCAGGGCTCATATCAAGCTGTAACAATGATTACCAACATTGGTGACGCTCCCAATTATCCTCCCCACTCATGTCTCCAGACAAACCCCTGAAATTTCATCTTCTAAATGGCCATGTGATCCAGAGATACCCAAGGTTAAGCTAATGACTCCTTTATTTCCAGCAGTATTGAAGACAATGGAATTCTAGCACAGTCAGGGAGTCTAGGCTGTTCCTTCAAGGGGAATGGCCTAGGACTTGAGCTGTTTCACCTGGTTTGGCCAAGTGTTTGCAAGTTGGATCAGTTTATTTCCTCTTGGGGATCCTACTCCATGCTTTGCCTGGGAGAGAGGTCTGCCTCAGATGGCTGCACATGCGCTTATGCTATTCTTTATTTATTTGTTCAGAGGCACAGAAAGGGCATCTATTGGTGGTTGGAAGAGTAGCATGCATCCAGCCAGTTGCGTGTTGGAGTTAGCTTGTAGTAGCTCTGAGGAGCCAACTGTTCAATTTTCAGCAAACTGGACAACCTGTTACTGAAAATAAATGAACTCAGCAATTAGGAAAATTGCATTATATAAACTTACAATTAAGTTATATTAAAGCAAAGGTGATAAATACATAAAAATTCATCATTTTCTAATTATTTTACTATTGTCTGTGTCCTCATCTATATGGTAGAAATAGTCTATAACAGGGCGCCACTGGACATCTCTCCTTAACTGCTCAGTGGCATCAGGCTGGTAGCTCACACCAGCAAACACCCCACGTCAGCCTCCTGCCCTCAGAACCAGTTGTCAATATACCTGCACACCACTGTGTAGAGTTATCATTTATTGAGGGCTTGTGCGCTCAATAACTATGCGCTAGGCATAGTTCCAAGAGCTTTGTAAATATTTACCATTCATTCAGCTAGTCCTGATGCATTGCTTACAATATGCCAGGTATTATTATTATTATTGATAATCGTTACTATTATTGTTAGCTAACATTTATCGAGTACTTCCTGTGCCTTAGGCACTCTTCTAAGCACTTTTCAGGAATTAGCTCCTTAATCCTTGAGATAACCCTTTGAGGGAGGTTCTATTATTATCCCCATTTTACATAGGAGAACACTGAGGCACTGAGGAGATAAATGATTTTCTTAGGTTCACACAGCTTGTGTTTTGCAGGTCTGTATCAGATCCCAGCAATCTGGATCTGGAGCCTTTGCTCCTAACCACGAGGCTCTCCTGTCTCTCTTTGCCTCTTGGCACCACGGATGCAGGGGCTTACGTTCTGGTGGATGGGGAGAAGATGTTAAACAATAAACATGTAAGACGTCAAATGGTGGTCAGTGCCATGGATAAAAATTAAGCAGGGTGAGGGCACGTTACTTCATTGATCTTATATTTTAATCTAATACTATCTCCATTTTACAGATGATGGAACTGAGGCTCAGAAATGTCAAAACCATACCTAAGGATACACAGCTAATAAATGGTAGAGCTGGGATTCACACCTACAACAGCCTGGTTCGAAAGTCTGTGCATCGTCCCCCTACATGCCTGCCTTCCTTTGCTTCTTCAAGCTCCCAGGTTACCAGGCCCGTATGCCAAGCTTCAGTTTCCTGTGCAAACTCAGCTCAGCTGCAATCTGTCCTGTGTCCATCCTCCTTTGTTTCTCGGTCCTCCAAAGCCACATGAAAGCATAAACAAGTTCCAGCTCATGGTGATGCTGCAAGCTGGCAGGGCTGGGGGCCCCCGAGAAGCCAGCATGAGCGAATGTACCATCTGCAGCATGGAACCCGCACACTGCCTTTCTCCACTTTGGTCCCCAAGGGGGCTTTGTCTGTGAAAACAGACTTATTGTGGCTAATATAGGTCGCAGGTGGGAAAGGCCGGGGACTGACAAAGAGTTTAACTGGATTCCATTAACACTGAAAACAAGCTCAGAAGGATAGGCATGGCAGGGGCTTGTGGGATCCGCTCTTTCAAGCACCTGCATTGTCCCACTGGAAATACTGTATTTAATGTCAACGTAGCTTGACCTTTAGTTTTGGTGGCATTTACTAATTCTATGAAAGCAGGCATTTCTCACTTCCCCTGAAGCTTAACAGAAAATCAGACCATTAGTTAAGCCGAGCCCAGCCCATGTGGAGGGAAAGGTCTCTAAAATGTTTCCCCCACAACCTGAAAAAAGATATCAGGACAACCTCCATTATTTTGGTTCATTTAAATTTCTGGCACCAAGGGAATCAAAAGAAAGTGGTGTTTTAATAATAGTTCAAAGCATCAGTTTGACATCCCTGGGAAGCCAGGAGGTCAGATCTCTCAAAGTGGGCCTGATTCTTGGGTGGAAGAAAGCTCTCTTGTCACAAATATTTCAGGGTCCCTGATCACTCAGTGATGAATAGCTACCCAGTGTATTAGTTTCCCATTGCTGTTGTAACAAATTATCACAACCTTAGTGGCTTAAAATAACACCCATTTGTCATCTCGCAGTTTGGGCAGAAGCCCAAGTGGGCACAGGTGGATTCTCTGCTCATGGGCTCACAGTGCCAAAATCAAGGTGTTGGCCAGGCTGGGCTCTGATCCGGAGGCTCTGGGGGAGAATCTGCTTCCAGGCTCATTCAGGTCATTGGCAGAATTAAGTTCCTTGCAGCACTAGGACTGAGGTTCCAGTGTCTTTACTGGCTCTCAGACAGAGGTTGTTGTCATTTCTCGAGGCCACCTGCATTCCCTGGCTCCTGATATATGCACCCCTGGGTTCACTGCAGCGTCATTCACAAGAGCTAAGGCACAGAAACGACCTAAGTGTCCATCAGTGCATGAATGGAAAAAGATGTGACTGTATGTACATTACTATACATGCATACCTATATTATAATAAACCAGACAGAGAAAGACAAATACTCTTGTGGTCTCACTTACATGTGGAATTTTTGAAAGTTGAACTCACAGAAAACAGAGAGTAGAGGAGTGGCTACTGGGGGCTGGGAGTCGGGAAAATGGGGAGATGTTGGTTAAAGGGTCCAAACTTCTAGTTAGAAGATGGATGAGTAGGTTCTGTGGATCTAATGCACAGAAGAGTGATTATAGTCAACAATACTGTGTTATATACTTGAAAGTTGCTAAGAGAGTAAGTTCTAAATGTTTTCACCACAAAGAAGAAATGGTAATTATGTGATGTGACAGAGGTATTATTAACTCTACAGTGGTAATAATTTTGCAATACATAAGTGTATCAAATCAATATTTTGTACACCTTAAACTTACACAATGCTACATGTCAATTATATTTCAATAAACCTGGGGTGGGAAAAGCCCAGAGTTGCTGGGAAGTATGAATGCTAAGACGTGAACTATCAACTCATGTTTGTTCTAGACATTTCCAGAAAAGATTACTTTATTAACAGCCTATATTCTTTTCTTTCTAGCACTGATTTAAGTGATATCCTTCTGATAACATATTGTATCCTTCTGAGCAAAGCTGGGGTCGGGGAGGGGGAGCCAGCTATGGCAAGTGCAAACTCCTTCTCCCATTTGGACTCTATTTGACCTTTCAGCCACATCTCTCCTGCTTCCAGCTAGAGAAAGTTCTCTGCTTTTATGTGCTTGTGTGATTAGATTGGGTCCACCTGGATAATCCAGGCTCACCTCCCTATCTTAAATTTGTAACCTTCATTACATCTGCAAAGTCCCTTTTGCCATGTATTGCAACATATTCTCAGGTCTGGGGGTTAGGATGTGGACATTTGGGGGGATGCATTCTGTCAATCATACTTGGAATCCCCTCAACCCCCATGGGGCTCAGATGCCTGGCTCACAGGATTCTGGAGGCAACACTGTGAAGGTGCTTTGGAAGCTGACAGACCTAGGCAGCTGTGAGGATTGAGACCTGTTTTCAAGGTGAGAATAATCAGATGTGTGGTTAGAAATCAAGACCGCCAATTTGTGTGAAAATGGGTGTTTCCAGTTATGACTTTCTGCCCGTTAATATTAGGATCACTCCTGTAAGGATATCCATCCATCCATTTTCACAAGTATTTATTGAGCATCTACTGTGTGCCTGGCACTATTCTAAGTACTGAGAAAACAGTACTACAGAACAGACAAAATCCCTGCTCTCATGAAGCTTACATTCCAAGATTGGGAAGCACAAAATAAACTCAGTAAGTAAGTTATACTGTGTATTGGAAGGTAAAAAATATTATAAAAGAAAAGAAAGTAGGGGAGGGGCATAGGGAGTGGCCTAGTGGGGGTGCAGCTTTAAATCAGAGTGGTCAGTTAGGGCCTCATTGGGATGTTTGAAGGACAGGTAGGAACGTAGAAGGAAATGCAGAAGGTAGTTAGAAATGCAGCAACTGTCCATGTGTGCATAGACAGCTTTGATATTTTCCAGCCGTGAGACTGAATGAGTTCTCCATGGGAGTAAATGTCAACATAGGATAGAATAGAGCTGAGGGTGAGTCCTGAGGCACTCCACAGTTGGAGGTGAAGGAAAAGAGCAGGAATGTGACAATGAGCAACTGGTGAAGCAGGGGGACGGTCAGGAGAGGGTGATGTTCTAAGAAAGTGTTTTGAGGGGAAAGACTTGTTCATCTGTATCAAATGTTGCTCATGGGGGAAGTAAAATGAAAATGGATAGTTGACCATTAGATTTAACAATTTGTAGGTCCCTGGTTTCTATGTTGTGGGAGCAACATCCTGACTGGAGAATTTCAACAGAAAATGGGGAAGGAGGATTTGGAGGCAGTAGTGAGTATAGACCACTTAGGAGTTCTGAAGAAGGAGGGAAATACCTGGCTTGGGGGGAGAGGGGGAACGCTGTGTGGTCAAGAGATTTTATTTTATTTTTTTAAGATCAGACAGCATGTTGGAATGACAGCCGGTGAGACCGAGGAAGTAGAGAGGAAAACACCGACGGCATGGGGGAGAGAATGGTCATTTCCTGGAGTGGGTGGGAGGGCATGGGACCTAGAGGAGGGAATGACCTTGGAGAACAGGATGCACAACCTGTCCATGGTCACAGGAGACAAGGCAGAACACATTGGCACAGGTACAGATAGATGGGTAGGTGAAAGCATGTGGGTGTGCTTTTCTGGTAGCTTCTATTTTCTCAGGATAATGGGGACGAAGGTCATCAGGGAAAGGAGAGAGATGAAAGGAATAGCCATTGGTGAATAGAAGCTGAGACCCAAAGGGCCACAGGAAGAAATAGGGAATCCAGCAGTGGTCCCAGCCCTCTGGAGAAGTCCTCCCCTTGTTTTCAAACACTTGCAAGATCCAAAATTGAGTCATGGGAAGAGATCTAGCTAATAATCCCCATTTTTTAGGGTGGGGTGTTTAATTTTTTATTGTTATGTTAATCACCATACATTACATCATTAGTTTTTGGTGTAGTGTTCCATGATTCATTGTGTATAACACCCAGTTATATACATGCTCCACGCAGAATGTGCCCTCTTTAATACCCATCACCAGGCTAACCAATCCCCCACCCCCCTCCCCTCTAGAACCCTCAGTTTGTTTTTCAGAGTCCATCGTCGAGAAAGAGAATCTTAAGCAGACTCCAAACACATTGTGGAGTCCAGTGCACTGTTCAATCCCACAAACCTGAGATCATGACCTGAGTCAAAATCAAGAGTTGGCTGCTTAACCAACTGAACGCCCCAGGTGCCCCACAGGTATCCCTACTTAAGCAACCATTTTGTGTCTGGTACTGTACTAATTGTTTTTCATTTTTTATTTTTTTCAAAGATTTTGTTTATTTATTTATTTGAAAGAGAGAGAGAATGAGCATTGGGGAGGGGCCGAGGGAGAGAGAGAGAGAGAGAAGCAGACTCCCTGCTGAGCAGGGAGCCCATTGCGGGCTCAACGCAGGGCTCAGTGCAGGGCTTGACCCAGGACCTGGAGATCATGACCTGAGCCGAAGGCAGACACTTAACCAGCTGAGCCACACAGGTGCTCTAGTACTAATTGCTTTTTTGTCTGGTACCTAAATCAGTACACAAAACATGCCATGGAATTAAGGACTGTTGTCCTCATTACAGATGGCCTGACTTATGATGGTGCAACCTATGATTTTTTTACTTCATGAGGGTGTAAAAGCAACACCATTTAGTAGAAACTGTAGTTCAAATTTTGAATTTTCATCTTTTCCCCAGGCTAGTAATATGCAATATGATCCTCTCTCATGATGCTGGGCAGCAGCAGGGAGCTGCAACTCCCAGTCAGCCACAC